AGGCAAACTCCATCTGTTTGAATTGCATCATAGTAATCTCATCCTGTAACGATTCAATCTCCCCCTCACATTTTTTGTTCATATTTTCAGCTTTCGTTTCCACTTCCTGCACTTTATCAGCTACTACATTCAAAGAGTCAGCAAGCATTTGGACAAGCTCTTCTATTTTTCCAACCATTTCTTCCTTAAACTCTTTCATTAAGTCATCAGTAAATTGCCACACTTTTAACATAAGCTTTTCAGTATAATCATCAAGCACTTCTTGTAATTTTTGAAAAGTGAGGAAGGGAGTAGATGTGGGGGGAGGAGATTTAGATATCTGTGATGAGGGTTACAAAGATGAAAGTACAGTTGTTTTAATTAATTTTGGAATAGCAGAAGGTCCAGTCCACTTAGAAGCCATTATATATTTCTTTTAAATAGTCCTTTAAATCAAAAATCCGAAGTCAGAGGAAAAAAAGAATCCACAAAGTCCGTCCTCACTATACCAAAGGGAAAGTGGAAATTTTTCTTTGTTGCAAAAAAACAACTACCACAGCCATTTTCCTCCTCACTTTCACTTTGACAAATGGGGGAGATCTCTTTGATCTTCCAGAGTTAAATTTAAAATTAAAACCCTGTTAAGTCCATTTTCCTGTTCAGCACCGGCTGTCAAGATAAGTACTCACAAAAAAAAAAAACATCTTCTGAAAGCAGCAGCGAGCGCGACTTCTTGTCTCGCACACTGCGAGGTCTGCCCGGGGCACGGAGATAGCTCCAGACTCTGGTGGGGCTCTCACCCAAATTCCTCAAGGAACTTGGGGAACTCAACACCTATCCGGAGCGGCTCCCCCACCTCCTTTAGCCCAGGAGGTGAGTTTCAAGCCGCCCGACAGCTGATTTATGCTGTCGGCACGGCTCTAACGCAGCCCCGGGAGGGAGACTTCAAAGGAAGCCTCCGACGAAGTCGACGTCTCAAACCGGAAGCCAGAAAACAATTATTCTGAAGGTTACCATGGGGCTAAAAGTCCAAATATGAAATTTCTATTAATTCTTATATAAACCCTGCATTAACAATTTTTGCATCCAGGTTTTGAAATATATAAAACATGAAAATGAAACAATATTAATTTAGTTTTGCTGATTACAGACAAGAACAAGGAGTTAGTTAAGACAGTGTTCCCCAACCTTTCCGAGTTGGCAACCTGGCACAGGGGGAGGGGGATGGTTTTGTGCAAGGGGCAGGCATGTGCACACACACACAGTTTCATTTGTGTGAGTGGGTGTGTGCACCTGTCGCTCGCATAAGTGGGGTGAGCGTGGGCGCCCGGCACTCCCATTGACTGGTTGTGAATAGGCTACAGCCCAGTAGTGGGCCGTGGTCCACAGATTGGGGACCCCTGATCTAAGATACCCATTCTGTTCTTGTCACAATGACTTCTCTAGAAACCTTACTCAGCTATCATTCATCTCCATCTTTTGCATTCACAGATTCAAAGTATCTCAGGAAACTGAATTCTGACTTTTAGCAGGTTTTTTTTTCCAAACAATTTTTATTATTTTTCCATTTTACACCAACAGAAGCTTAAGAGCCAGCGTGGAGATATGGTGGTCAATTACAAAAGAAACAATAACATTATATAAATACAATTCACACAATGTTTCTTAAAATTTCCCTCTCTATCTATGTAGAATATTATAATCAAGTAGATTCAAATAAATTCATTCATTGATATATCTAAATATAAATTACCTTAGTCAATAAAAACTTTCAACCGCTCAATATCGATATAATAATCAAATTAGAACAATCCTATAACCAATTCATTCATTAATATATCGCTATATATAAATTAACTGCTTAAATCAAAATTAACGCTCTCTATCTGTTTAAATTATTATAATCTCATTAGTACATTTCTAACACTAGTTTTCATTAAATATCTCGCTGAGTATACATTTCATTAATCAATAAACATTTACAAAAGCTCCTTATCTATCCCAAAGATCCTGTTTTAAACTTTATTAATTTTTCAAATATTTAAATTTATTTATTTATTTATTTATTTATTTATTAAATTTATATACCACCCTATCTCCCTTGCGGGACTCAGGGCGGTGAACAGGCGATACTAAAAACCACGAATAAATAAATAGTTTCTGTTTTAAAATCGAATTAAATGATAGGCCTGTTCTAAAAACACACCCATACAAAACCCCCCACTGAAACACAATCCAAACTACGCCAGGCCGGCCGCATGGAATAGATGGGCCTTCAGGGCTTGGCGAAAAAGCCGCAGGTCCGCAACTGTACGTAGGTCGGGGGGTAGGTCATTCCAGAGGGCAGGAGCTGCCACAGAGAAGGCTCTCCCCCTGGGGGTCGCCAGCCGGCATTGTCTGGCCGACGGCACTCTAAGAAGGCCCTCTCTGTGGGAGCGGACTGGTCGAAGGGAGGTGTTTGGTAGGAGGCGGTCTTGCAAATA